GCAGGTGATGGAATTGCTTTCGCCCGCGGAACGGGAAGCCTTGCACGACTTGAGTGGCGCGATGGCGCCGCGGCGGGGGGGATGAAGGGGAGGAGGGCCCGCGCCATGGGCGCTGCTTCGACGGCGCGGGATCGTCCAGAATGCCTGGGCTCGTGATCAACCGTATCGCGTGTTCTGAGGCATCTGCTTGTGTTCGGCACAAATTAAAGGTCAACGTTTGTACACAATTTTTTTTTTAGGTGTGCTGCTTTCTGAAGTTTTGCATCCTTTCCATCCCACCCCCTTTATTTATTATTGAACAGAGTTTCATTATTTTATTCTCTCACAGATATACTATAAATATATATATATTTCACTTTTAATTCAAGCGGACGTATCCTATTGATATGCCCCTGATTACTCCCTTTTGTTTTGATATCACGCACCGTATTTCTTTAAAATAGATGCATCATTTCTTCAATAAAATAATTCCCATTTTTCTGCTCTTACGAATTTTATTGATTGAAGAAAAAAAAGACTGATTACCGTTTATTCGTGTCCAAACTTGATTAAGGAATGTAATGCGAGGAACACTATGCGATCTCTATTCCACGAAGCAATGAAATTTGATTTTACTAAAAATAGAAAATAGTAGATAAAAAGTCTCTTATTAGTTTCCCTTACTTTAGTTCATACTGTTTCATTAAGCTATTTTTTTTTGTTTTAATAGTACTCTAAGACTTATATACCCTTTCTTTTATTAGACTAGTATATTCATTATTATTATTAATAATAATAGTATTATATTTATTATTTATATAGGGAAGTGCGACGGTGTTTGCCTCAACATCATATAGACCAATTGGGACACCCCAACGACTTTTGTTGACTGCGCGCATGCCCTCACAACTGGGTTGCGGCGTACGACCGGCGGCGCGGCAGATGAGGGCGAGACCACCGCAGGGTTTAATTGGGTTTAAGGCCCCTCTACAGCACGCGCGGCGAGGCTATTCGGGCTTTCACTTCGCGAGCCCCTATAACTGGTCCCTCCCCTACGGCGCGAAGGCGACAAAGGTCACGAAGGAGGAGCTTGAGAACCTTCGCTACTTCACCGATCGCCCTCGCGAGCAGTGGGATTACCACCGGGTCGACGAAAACCTCAACGCCAGCTCGGAGTTTCGCCGCACGGAGGGTCGCCAGAGCTTTTTTGAGGGCCAGCGCGAGGACAACTCCACCATAAACGAAGGCAGCCTCCACACCCCCCGGCATTATCGCCTGTACGAGTACTTTGACGAGTATACGAAACCCGGGACGAACAGCAAGGTCGCCGCCGCCCAGGCCATGAAGGAGCAGTGGGACGCTAAGGAGTTTTACTACCCCGGGGAGGCGTGGCGGATGAACCGCCCAGGCTTTCGCAGCGTCCCCAAGGAGCTGCTGAATCGCCAGACGTGGTATCACTGGAGCGATACGCTGCTTCGCTGGGATGAGATTCAGCCGACGATGCGGACGCGGTCGTGGAATCCGGACTGGCCGCCGCCCGGCTACCACGTCCCGAAGCTGCAGTGCAAAAAAGAGTTCTACTTCGGCGTCGAGGAGAACGGGCTGGTGTCGGAGGTGGAGCGGTATAATTGGTATCGCTCCTGGCTCGACAACAACCTCCGCGCCGGCTGGCTGGAGATTCCGATCCTTGTGATGTTTTTCGGGACGATGTACTACCTCGCGCGCAATGCGATGTCCGTCATGAGCATGCGCGCCGTCATGGGGAATTTATTTTATCCAGGTCGCCATATGGTCCGCCCGTTCGGCGTCCCCAAGGACTGGGAAAAGGAGTGCTTCTGGTGGCAGAAGCCCCTCGAGGACTTTCCAAATCAGGGAGAGGTCTGGTATATGAACGAAACCCGCTTTGGGTATATTAATTACATCAAGAAGCGAGACGCACGCGAAAAAACCCTAGCGGCGGCTGAAGCTCAGTAGATGCGCGCGACACGACAAAGAGTCGACGCGTAGGGATAAGGGCTAGTGGACTTTTTTTTTGTCGAAGGGTTGACCTTGCTTTATTGTATCGTGCTATACGGAGCCGATTTGCGATACTCTTTGGACCACTAACTTGACATTCGGTATTTATATATATATCGTTATATATATAGTGAAAGAGAAAAAAAAAAGAGAGAATGTTTCTTGCGTTCTAATTGTCATAGTAGAACTAGGAGTAATATAGTACTAGTACTCAAAAAAAGCCTTAGTCTCGTTATTTTTATGATTGCCATTATGGACACATTCATGTCTGGTGATGCGTTTTTGTGCGTGTGACATGAAACAGACAATTCTATGCTCAAATAAATCTCTATCCCTAGCATTATTATTACCCTATACATTTGATTTACATTGGGTCAGGGTAAAATTAGTACCTATATTTGTTGATCAATTTGTATAAAAACTTCCTTCCGATTTTAACGGATCCTCATAGAAAGGTCTTATGCATAATATACTAGCACTTTTAGAATAGACCTTCACCGAGCTTTTTCATCCTCCACAAAAACATGTCTACGTCGTCAACTCTTTGTTTGCTTTTGACGTTGTTTTGGCTTTGTTGTGGATGCCTTCCATGTAAAGCGATCGACAACGCAACTTCTGGGGATGCGGGATCGATGTCAAATATGCTGACCTTTTCAACGATGGAAGAGTTCACCAAAACAGCCTTTTCCCTACAACTGCCTTTGGTCGTCGTCGTCTTCAATGACGAGGAGTCTGTGGAAAGGACGACTGAATGGAAAGAGTTCGTTGAGGAGCTGAGTTCATTACTCCATGATTTTCTTATACGGGTGGGCTACGTAACGTCTAACTCGGAGGTCGGCAAGCATCTGAAGACTATCTACGGCTTCAACCCCCCGTCCTTGATGTTTTTTGATGGCTTTTTATCCTTTTCGCCATTCAACTCGTCCACACTGAACAAGTATCCAAAGTTTTATAGCGGAAACTTGGCGTACAAGTCGGTCCTGCGCTGGATATTGCAGTCCATCGCGCCCGACTTTATAACTCGTTTGGAGGATGAAAATGACCTTTGGGAGTGGTTTCACCAAATGCCGCGATACCCCCAACTGCCCCGAGTGCTTTACTTCACGGGGAAGTCCTACGTGGGCCCGGTGTATCGTCTTTTGAGCCAAGCCCTGCACCCCGATGCGGTGTTTGGGGTTGTTTTGGACCCGTTCGCCGGCGATCCCGAGAAAACGGCCCTCGCGCGGCTCTACGACCTCCACCACCCGGCCGAGCTCCCCGCGCTGTTCGTCCTGCACCCGCGCGCGGACGACCCGGACGGCCTCGAGGACGACGTCCACCGACTTCAATCCTTCACCCCCAAAAGTACCCTGCACGGCATCCTCAACGATCTCTTGAAGCACCTGCCGGAGGCGTCGGCGAATATCATGCGCAATTCCGGCGCGGGTGCCGACCCCACGACAATTGGGGATCTTTGGAAAAGACGCTTGTACATCCTCGGCGAGGTCGAAAAGGCCCGGCAGGCGATTCGGAAATACGCATCAAACCACACCTCTGGGCCGTCGAAATTTGGCAACCGCCCGGTGGCGGTTCGCAGCCAGGACGAGTGGGAAAGAAATTGCCTCCACTTGCCTACAGGGCATCAGTGTTTGGTGGCTTTTAGCGAATTCGCCCTGATGGAGAAGGCGATTTCCATTTTTGAAGGCGTGGCTGAAAAATGTTCGGGGTTATTGAGTTCGGAAATCGCTCAACGGGTTCATTTTGTGGTGGTTGATGCCACATCCAGTGTGGAGGTGATGGCGTTTTTCGGCGTCGACCCTGGTCATCTCCCTGCCGTAGTCTTACTTGTGAATGACCCTGAACTTTACTTCAACTTTGATGGTTCGTTTTCGGAAGATCCCCTCGTGGAGTTTTGTCAATCTAAGCTGCAAGCCCAGACCGCTTCAGGCCACAAGTCCTTTAGCGTGAAAAAGATACCTCCATTTTCAATATCCAAGGGTGAACCCCCTGAGCATCCCTCTGAGGATACTCAGGAAGGGTACGAAGGCGACTTATAACTCAAGCTTTAGAGTGAATCCCTATGGAATTTAATCATCTTTTCTATGCTACCAATACCGAACGAGTCATATTGAGAAAATATATATATTATTATTACATTTTGGCAACGCCGATAAATTGTTAAATTATCGCCTTTACATTTTTCCCCCTATTCTAGGTTATATGAAAGTTGGATTTTACATTCCTTTGTTGTTGTTGTCGCGTGGGATGCGATATTGTTCGTAGGAAAACAAAAGAGTGAGGAAGCAGTTGAAATCAAAATAAAACAAAAGTAATTTAATCAAGATGCAACCTTCAACAACTTTCCAGCTAGTTCTCACCTTGTCTGTAATGTCATGATAATTGGCATATTTAAAGCTTATGTTAATCCAAAAATACATGCACCTGGGACATTTCCTGAACTGCAATAATTATCTACGGTTATTTTTCAATACTAATTATTTTGTTGGATTTTTATGTTTATTATTATCCTCCAAGACATCAAGGATTAAGGCAAATTCTTTACGAAAAGAATTGAATCAAAAAGTCAAACACCGAGCGCAGTTAAACCCTTAATTTATAGTGTGAATCTTTTAAGTTTCCAAATAAAGCTAGCATCTTGTATTGCAATTTAGGAGTATATCAGTAAATTATTTTGGTATTATTACAATGAGGTCCATTGCCGCCGATTCGATGTGTAGCAGCAAAAGTGCTTTGTTGTGTCGCGCATTCCACACCACTAAAAGCCCAAACAAACCTGACAGAATGGATGGCTCGAGCAAGGATAGGTGTCTACTAAACGAGAATGACGAAATAGCCCCATCGGAAATGATTTTTGACGACTACGATTTTGACAAGATACGGGCTGTAAATTTACAACCCCAGGCCGGATGCCATGACCCAACGCTTCGAGTGGTTATCCTGTCTTCCGAAGACAAGCAAAAAGTACTCACCAAACCCTGGAAAAGAATACTATCGACGCTGCTGATGATCGAGCCGATAAAGAAGCAGTGGAAGAAAGTATCTCTGGGGTGCCCCAGTGGGTGGAAGCGGCCTTTTCTAACGCCCAAAGCTCCGGGATCGATCCTGCCCTAATGGGGACACCAAATTCATACCTCATCGGCCTTCCATCGTTGGTAGACTCGAAGAAAAAAACGATGCGTTGATTGAAATTCTCTTTGAGATCGAACCGGGACGATTGAAGCCGCATCGTTGGGTGCCCGAATGGCTCGTTCTGAGGCGAGCGAAGCGTGATTGGCGTCCTGGAAAGCCCCTTCCCATTGCGTTTTACGACACCGGCGAATAATGGATGAGGTGGAATTCTTTGGCATTCATCCCCTTCAATGTACACCGGATTACCATAGCAAGTTCGGAAAATGGACCCCCCCCCCCTTGAATACCCGTCGAGGTCGCTCACGCTTGGGGTAGGCGGATCCTATCGGAATCCCTTAGATCTCAATATATTATTGTCGGTTTAAAACACTTATGATATAGTTATTTGTTTTTTCGCCCTTCACGTCGGTGCGATGTCGTTGAGAATTTAAACTTCACCAATTTCTCTGGGGATCTGAACAATGAAATAAATGGCATGCCGAAAGCAATCGCGTCGATTCTTCACTATTACCGCAAAATCCATGCGATTATCGACAACAGCGATCAACTCACTCATAAACGGGTGAAAAACGTGGTCTTTTCAGACTTCCAAGCGGGAGGGCTGAATGTTAGGTCAACCGACCGGTACAAATAATACCGTCTTCCGATAGCCCCACTATGAATGCATAAAGCTTATTTCACAAGAAAATGAAAGTATTGGGCAGATTTCGATCTCATTTTTTGTTTTTCTTTTTTCTTTTAAGGATGGTTCAAGCACTGAGCACCTTACTTCGCGTTTATATATAAACGAACCAGGTGTGCATACCGTCCACTACTCTTCGGTGGGTGATCATCTTGGATGTCAACGCGCATAACTTTTATGGACCGACCTTAAAAAGGCACCACAGGTCTATAACAACGAAAACAATGTGAAAACCAAAGTGAAGTAAAACTTTAGAACTCATTTTTTTTTATAATATATATATATATATATATAAGTAATAACACTTTGAGATGAAACGCATTCACAAAGTATTATTACATATTCTTGGAATAAATATATATCTGAATTATTGTCTTTTTTTTTTCATAATTCTTCACTCATACAGTGGGTGAATCTGAAATCCCTTCACGCAAGGAAAAAAATGAAAAAAAAATTTTCACTGAGAAAAACGTAAGAAATCCGCACAATGTGTATGGATTATTAAAGATTACAGTAGCCTACAGTTATCACTCTTTAATAGAAAGATAAAAGGGTCTCTTTAGACTTCCCAATTGATCCATTTCTCTATTGATGCGCGGGTGTCGATATGTGTATAGGTGTGGGTGCGTATATATTGATCATGTATAGCTTTCCTTGTTATATTGTTATTATTATGGATTCTACGACGCTAGATTGCTCAAGTACCTTTTCCAGAGACCGCAGGTCGCCTTGCCGAGTTCACCCCTGTCAACCCATTGGGCCATAGGGGATATGGACCTCTCCGAAGACGATCCATTTTGTTTTTCCTCCCCATTTAGATTATTTAAGTTCAGTGTTGGCATCTTTATTATTATTATTATTATTTATTTATTTTTCAAAACCCACCAAAAACGCTCATGTACTCTCGCCGTGCCTCGCATTCCGCGCCTGGCGGGTGTGGGTGGTATGATTCCTCGCCCGAATCGCTCAAGCAGCGCGTTGGCGGCCTGTTGGACGCGGCGAAGGCCAGCCCGGGCTTCGCGATGGCGGGGGAGGGGGTCCTCCACGGCCTCATCGCCCCGCACGCGGGGATTATCTACTCCGGCCTGACCGCCAGCGTGGCCTATCGCGCACTTTACGAGTATCTTTACCGCCCCGGCAACCCCACCACGCGGCTTTTTATCGTGGGCCCCTCCCACCACGCGATGTTGGACGGCGTGGCGGTTTCCCGCGCGCGGGCCTACGAGACGCCGTTTGGGCCCCTCCCGGTCGACACCGCAGCGGCCGTGGCGGTGTTGGGGGCCTTCGCCAAGGCCGGCGTCCCCGCCGACTGGACCACGCAGGCCGTCGACGAGGGCGAGCACTCCATTGAAATGCAGATGCCCTTTCTTTCCTATCTTTTGCACTTCCCCCTCGCCCCCGCCACGGCCGCGGCCGTCGACGGCCTCCGCATCGTTCCCATCATCGCCGGCTGGGCGGATCGCGCCCTGGAGGGCAAAATCGCCGACGCCCTCGAGGACTTTGTGCGGGACCCCTGCAATGTCTTCATCCTCAGCTCCGACTTTTGCCATTGGGGGCGGCGCTTTCGCTATACTTTTCACTACGAGCGGGAGCACTACCCGGCGATCGGCGACGCCATCATCGCGATGGACCACCAGGGGATGGACCTGCTTCACAATAAGGACCTGGACGGCTGGTATCATTATTTGGACCAAACCAACAATACGATTTGCGGCCGCCGTCCAATCGGGATCGGCCTCAACGCCTGGGTGAAGACGCTGAAATCGAAGAAGCTGGCCATCGATTTTGTGAGCTATTCCCAGTCGAATAAATGCCAGAACGAGCAGGATTCATCCGTCAGCTATGCCGCTGCGTTGATTCACAGCTAAGTATCGGTATTGGGTTGTACACTTTGGTGCTTTCATGTTTCCTCGAATTCTTGGCGTGGTAGGGTTGGAGGTTTCGCCCAATTATTTTATTTATTGTTAAGAAAATTCAGTATACATTGATATTAATTATTAGCTTAGATCGCTGATTCACAATATGTAACTGGCAACGTCTAGAATTTATTCTACTTTTAGGATTTTCGGGGGAAAAAAGTTTTAGCTGAAGTATCCGCATGTTTGCATGAAAATCAGCCTTCGTTCTTTTTTTTTACGCACTATTAATAATACCCATCCCGCTTGGATTTCTCTTTGCATATTGGTTTGCAGATCCAGTAGTTTAAGCGCAAAACTGATGTTTTTTCTTATGTTGTACACGTTTTATCACATTTGATTTCACATTTATTTATTTTAATAACTCTTTTCAGTGCACCGCGAATTTAAGTCCACACTAGAAATCTATTTAGTTTTTAACACCTTAACTTTTTGGTAGTAGTAATTTCTTTTTTTTAGCTTCTATTCTTTTGGAACTCGCATGTTGAAAAGATTGGGATAGTATTGATGTCTTTCTTGTTTCCGAATTAGGGGAAAAAAATAAAAATAAAAATACAAGGCTTCTATTTATTGGATCTCGTCTAGTGATACGTACCGCTCCAACTTGATATCCATTGACAAGGACACACCGCAAATATACATCCATCCATACACATTCATATATATCTATATCTATCTATATACCTATATC